AAAATGTCCTGCATATGCAATTGGCAATACAACTGAAAGAGTCGACCTTCAATTATGGAACGGGCACACTTGCAGACCGGTTTCGAGCTCATTAGCCACTCATCAATGTAAGACAGTGACCATCATCGACCTGAAGTCAATGATATTTCATAATTGAAAATCGATATTCTTTCAGAGTATTTCATTCTTCGTCTTGAGTTGGAGCGAACATTCCTTATTCAGAGGAATCGGGCAAATTTCGGATATGCAGTTGGTTTGTACCTCGTCCACTAGATGGAGTGACATTTTGTGATGTTCGCTCCAACTTCAGACGAGGAATGAAATACTCTGAAAGAATTTCGATTTTCAATTATGGAATATCATTGACTTTAGATCAATGATGGCCACTATCTTGCACTTACAAGTGGCTGAGGAGCCCGAAACCGGTCTGCAAGTGTGCCCGTTCCAAAATTGAAGGTCGACTCTTTCAGTTGTATTGCCAATTGCATATGCAGGAAATTTTCTGTGAAGATTCCTGCACTGACGCCTGTCGGATGTAATCCAACGCCGTTCGTGGTATTAGCCAGTGGAGTAGTTGTTTTCTGACAGGCGTCAGTCCATTCAACCTACTGTGTACGTATATCTGAGACGGGCTTGAACATTTAAAGTTAATTTCTTCAGATATCTTCAGGAAAGTTGTGATATCTTTTCTCGTTATTGGTACACAACAAGTATGATGATCATTACTGAAAACTGTCGATATTTACCCATGTCAGCCAGTTGGGACAATACATTTTCGTCCATAGCGGGCAGGACGGGCTGAACTTGAGGTTCAGGAAGAAGTTCCTCCTCTGGCTGCGGTCCTCCACCCCGTAATGGAGATATATCTAAAACATCAGGCATCTCGATGGACACGTCCAATTTAATTGGCACCCAATCTTCGCGTAACGTGAACTTCTTCAAATGAATCACCAAAAAGTCCGGGAACGAAGATAACCTTGTCGTTCTGAAACAATAACCTGGTTTTTATTTGAAAAACAGAGGACATTCGCTTGCATACTTTCTCGCCGTAACGTTTTCATTGACTGCTGAGCTGAAGAAGTTGTTTATAACTTCAGATTGGGTGAATGATTCTAGGCAAGAGAAAAACTTGATTCTCGGACGCACAATAGAATCGGGTTCCAATTTCTTGCCTTTAGCTTCCGCTTCAGCTTTCCTTGCCTCATATGCAGAAACCTAGAAGTGCAAGCACTATCATAATCATATGTTTTAATGTAAATTCTCCTGAAAGAAATCAATATAATCAATTTGTATGCAACATAAACCAACCATTTTCTCTTTCCTAGAGAATGCATACTGTAATAATAATAATAATAGTTTATTAACCGTTTGTTGGTACATTAGGTACATATGGTAAGTCAATATTATATTATAATTTGTTACACTAAAAAATAAAAAATAAACGGACATATGTATAAATAAATAAAATCTTTCAATTCGTACATATGAATTGGAGCGTCAGTATATATAAAAAACAAACAATCAATATCGTTTACCATTTAAAAACTTAACAGTCATGTAAAATCTGTGTCTATCAAATTATCATTTATAAACTCTTGGTAACTATAATAGCACTTTCTAAGTAAAAAATTTTTAATTTTGTTTTGAAATACCTT